ATTATTTTTTCAGTATTTTTATGATTTCATGCAAGATAATTTTAGCATTAATATTCCAGCAATGAAGAAGTAGCGTAAAAATTATACGCTCATATTTTATTTACGTGATAGTGATATAATTTAATATTAAAGAAATATTATACTTGTAGTACTTTTTATTGTTTATTCAAGTTGAACTTAGAATGGAAAAGAAAGTCAAGACTTTCCATATTATAAGGTTACGGTAAGCAAGAGATATAGCAGTTTATTTGGGTCAAATCATTGCTGGAATTTTATTTGGGTCAAATTATTGCTGTACTTAAAGGACATTTAAAAAATGATAAAAAGATTATACATTTGAATGAGGCAGCTAGACGACGAGGGTTGCTATTTTTCACGTTTTGCTGACGTGTCAGTTGCAAATTTGCATAATATCGAGTGGTTTTGGTTATGGAGTCAAGAGAGGTTGTTGTGCTAAATATGCAAATTTATTAGTTGCAGACGCGTAACTCGAGCAGTCATTGTATCAACTTGGTCTTGTTAGGGGTAGTCTACTTCTATCTAAGCTCTGTACGTAACTTCTACACGTACTCTAACTTTGTGTACTTTTCAACCATATTTGTTTTAATTAACATATGATTGCTTGTTTCTTTGCTTAGATTTTTCAGTAACATTTTAAGTGAATTGTTTCTTAAAAATAACACATAGAATTCAAGTTTATTGTTAGCAATGATGTGAATTTGTTTAAATGATAGACTAGTAAGAATATATTCCGTAGTTAGTTATTTCAGAATGATGTTTGCATAGAAGACAATTTGATGCTGTTAACATTGGCGTTATTTATTCTTGTAAATTCATATTAATGTAATTATAAGCGAAACATTTTTCAGACAGGAACGATCAAACCTGTAAAGCTTGATGATGGAGCAGTGGTAATCAAAGAATGGAAGTAGTTCGAGAAACCATCTTTGCAGTTTCTGTCCGACCAGAATCGATGAAGAAAGTTGCAAATGAAACACGATTCTGGAATATTTTAAGGATAGAAGAATGAAAAAGATGGTCGAACTCAGTGATTACCAGCGCAGTGAAGACTCTTTCAACGCATGATTTGAGGATCAGGCCAAGGGGAAGCGACAAAAAAAGTTTTTAATGGAAGAAAAAGAGGCTGCGTGGTATTATAAAATATTTATTATGCACGCAGCAATAGAACAAACGCTTCCCCACGTGAATTTTGCAATGAAATGGATATCAACCATGCGCGTAGACGACATCGCACATGGATTGAACCAATCCAATGATTATATTAAAAAATATATAACGAGTAAGTTATTTGCTAATAATCTTGGACTCGCACTAAAATATGTAAATATCTGAATTGAGATGTTAAGATGATTTTATGATGTTCTCAATGTAAAAAACTATCAAATACAATGAATATTTGTTAAACTATCAAATACAATGAATAAACTATCAAATACAATACAGCCATTTCCAGATTCATCTCGTACTCTGACATTCATAAATTTGACTCCGATGGATGACGGAGTTTACGCTTTGGAAAAAAAAAAGAATCAAGGGCAACATCTACATCCTACATGATTGGGGAAGGATCAATTCGATATCGACAATACTATGAATCCTTCCCGAACGAGTTACGTCACGAAGTTTTAAATTTATTTTTTATTATAACAATATTTTATTTGTATATATGGCTTCCTTCCTTAATACGAAGTCATATATACGTGTACATATTATATCGAATGTATAATTTTTTTGCGTATGTAAATACGCTTTTTATTGTAATTATTGTGTCTTTTTGTATCTTTAGAAATCTTTTTGTACCTTTTTTCGAGGTCATTGTTGAGGCATCACTAATTTTAAGCAGCCATTTTAATTTAAATTACTTTATGCCACAACAAACATCTCGAATATGAATGTTGCAATTGAAATGCCATACATCCTGACAAAAATCATGACAAGAATCATGACAGGGTCAGTGTGGGCATTAAATTGCACATTGCTATTTCCATGATTGCTTGAATTTGTAGTCTTTAGAAGAATTAAAAGGAGAAAATTTTACAATAGTATGGTATAGAGATTTGTATTTTTTTCTCCATGTATGTATGAAATATTTATGTATATATGTTCATCTATCTACGAATTATGTGTGCTTTTTCTTCATGTATATACGAGTTATTTGTATTTTGTTCACTGTTATTTGTTATAAATTTTTTCCAATTTCTAACATTTGTAATAATTTGTTTGTTATTTATATATTGAAAACATGAATAAAGAAAACAATTATGAAGTCAGAAAACAGCAGATAAAAGTACGAAACTCAGTCATTCATGAATCCATAGAAAGAAATACGTGAACTGAACAAAGCATCATCGCTGTCATAAGGAGAATATTACCGGAAACTACTAATTCTGGCAGTTTCGCCGCTTAGAGTAACTTTTTGAACTTTCACTTTTGTTGAAGTCAGAATGTGTTAGACAAGTAAGCGTACAACTAACTCTCAATAGTTCAGGAACGTCTCTTACTGAATTGAACTGCTTAGCTAATATGTAATGGAATCTCAAACCGAAGAAAATTTGGAAAAAACTGGATAGATACAAATTTGTTAAAGTCGACAGAATGCACCCTCTGAAGCACAATAAAATGTTTTAATCGCACACTAACTTCATGTCTGAAATCATGAGTAGAAGTGAAGCCTAGGCTTACTTTGATTTTTATTACCTCGATTTTTTCAAATTTCAGCAACTACTATCGACTTTTTGTTACCCTTTTTTAGATTTAGGCTTCAAAAAAAGTCAAATGGAAGTTTGTTGAGGGAAAAAATGATTATATTTTAGCAATAAAACAGGCGACTTTTACATAATCTCGTCAACCACGGAATAATCAGCTTATGAATGTACGTGAATGCAACCAGTATAAAACGAGAAGAGTTTTCAGTATTAACCTATCCTCAAATTTGAAACACTGTCTTTCTCACTTCATTTTTTATCATTTATGCAAAGGATTTGAATATTTTAGTTCATTACTTTACGACTGATATGTAGGGAAATTCTGTTTTTACAATTTGAATCTGAATTTTCAGAACGCTGAAGTCTCAATTATGCGGCTGCAATGGATTATCTTGTTTTGTTGCTCATGTTTTGGAATTTTGAACACTCAGATGGTTAGATATTTACTCGGCATAATTTTAAATAAAAAGTGAATGCATATTTTGTATCCAGAAACTTGAATATTATTATAACAGTCAATAAACTGCCTAGATGTTAATTATGATACTTTTGGAATATCCCATTAATAAAAGGTAACAATAATTAGTTTTAATTTGTAGCCACCACCAAAACCACCTCGTTCATCATCATTGGCTAGATTTGGTTCACGAGGTTATGCAGGCAGTCTTTCTTCTATACCAGAGGAAACAATAGAAATGAGAAGAAAGAATCAACATCACTCATTGACACTAGTTGCAACGGAAATGCCAAAAGTATTACCAGAAGTATCTAGAACTTCTGCAAAAATAATGCAGCCATTAGACGATAACTTGGAAGAGACACACAAAGATCTTGATGTGCCACCACCAAAACCACCTCGTTCAACATCTTTGGTTGGATACGGTCCACGATGTTATGGAAGCCGTCTTCCGTCTATACCAGAGGAAACAATAGAAATGAGAAGAAAGAATCGAATCCTTTCATTGGCAACTTCACCAGTTGCGACGAAAACGCCAAAAGTAATACCAGATGTGCCTAAATATTTAAAAAAAATAGTAGATCAAAAAGCAGAATCAGAAGTACCAGAGACGAAGGGGGCGATGACAAAAGTACCAGAAAAGAGAGCTGTTTCAGCAAAGAAAGCAGATTACTTGAACAATAAATTGGAAGAGGCATATAAAGAATTCGAAGATAGTTTGAAATTGTTTGAACCAACGCTACGTGAACGCCTCACGCATTTAAGAAAAGTTGAGTTGAAAAAATTCACAAACATTGCAGCACTGAGCGAAAAGGCAGATTACGACGGACTTAGAAATCAATCCGAATTAGTAATAATAGAAGACTTGAAAGAGAAAATGTTACCGAACTCTAGCCATTCAAATCAGTTAGAAACAAAGAATGATTTTTGTATTGAAAAATTTTTGAAGGAATTAGATGCAATGGCAACTGAATATGAAAACTTTTTGAAACGTCGAGAAGATATTCAACTTGAAATGCTCAGCAGTCCCGAAATTGATTCAACTTCTCCAGAACTTGAATCTTCTGATGATTCAGAGTCAGATTATATGGCAATGCTTGATTCTCTTAATATCACTCAATCAAACGATTCTAATGAGAAAGAAACTGATTGGAAACAAATAGCATATTCAGTATTCGGTGGTTGATGTCTTCATGTAATGCATTCATCTCGTATCTACGGATGGACTCTGAAGCACCGCAACTTTGTTAGCTTTATTTCCAAAACACTTATGCTTGTCTTTTACTAGTATTATTGGTGCTATTGGTATTGTGGTAATGTAGTGAAGTTTTTAGTGCGCAATTTAGATGCAGTGCATGTCACCTACCTTTGGTGTGGATAAATCTTTCATAAAGCATCTGTAGCACTAACGCTTTGTTGTTATTTGGTGTACTTTACGCAGAATAACTGATATCGCAACATTTTACATTCCATTTACACATATTCTGAATTACTCGGTGGTTGATTTCTTCAGTGACAGTGACAGTGTTAGTCGTATTCAAAATTAGTGTTAAGCAATAGAAAGTTGATGGAAATACTACTTCCGTCTGCGCTCAAAATGAATCTTCGAGCGAAATGGACAGGCGAATCGACACTCTTTTCTCCTTTTATGCTTCATTAAAGAGTGCAGATTTCATATTCTTCAAGTTTCAGCAGTCAGATAGACAAGTGAAATGTTGTTTGCTCTCATTTGCGTCACGAAAGATCTGTAGATAAAGTTTACATTTATATAAGAAACCAAAATAATGTTTCAACATGTATTGAAGAACTATCAAGCAATAAGAAGCTTTCAGGCTTATCCAATTATAACACAAAATAGTGACGTTTAATAAATTTCAAGGAGTGAAAAATTAAATCTGCTTGAAAAATATTCAGCAAAATCGCTAGTTTGATACAACACTGACTGATTATTCCATATTTGAGTGCTGCAAATTATTCAAATTAAAGCTCTCGTACACTCAACAAGTAATTAAAAATATAAAATAACAATAAGAAAACACAAAAATAAATCTAAAATAATAATGTGAGTACACATTAATTGTCTAAAAGCGCACTCATTTCGTTTAAATTCGGTGCATAGTAAGCGTCCACCTGAGCCGGTCCTTGAAACCAAACTGATTTATCAACAGCTTTCTTCAGTCGTTTCAGCTCATCAGTGACCCTTGCACTCTTAATCCGTATGGTTAGTTGAAGTAAAGTCTCGTCATCATTTGTTTCATTCTGGAAATACAGCATTCTTTTTAATCATCCGTATGCTTATTTCACAAAATGCAATTTTCAAAAAATTAACTTACTTTCTCCTAAATTCAGCTTTCCGACAATTTTTTAGCGTAATTAGCTTACTGGTTACTACTGTGCTCCTAATTAATTACAAGCTTATTGTTATTATGTTAAACTATCAATCAATTAATATCACATGGAGGTCACTCCGCTTTTTTTCATTATTAATTCTGGTGCTGTATTGTATTCCTGCGTTCTCACTGCACTTGCCCCGCGCTGAGTTCTGCTGTTCTGATCTCCGCTGTTTCGTC